GTCTCACCCTCAAACAAGACTGACTCTTCCCTTCCCAGCAGCCACTGGCTACCAGCAGTTCCTTAGATAGGGTTAAGATTTCTTACCTACTTCCCCACATCTGTTCTAGGATTTTATCTGACCTGAGCTTACATGGGTCTTATGCATGCTGTCACCGTTGCTGTGAGTTCATATGAGTAACTGCCCAGCTGTCTAGAAAATGCCGTTTCCCTGTGCTCATCCACCACCTCTGCCTCTTCCAGTCTTTCTGGCCCTCATCTGCAATGATCCCTTAGTCTTGGAGCCTGAAGTTTGATATAGTTCCTACTCAGGGATAAGCACTCTGAAACCTCTTATTCTCTGCATGTTGGTCAGTTCTGGCTGTCTATGTTAGTCATAATTCACTGTGTAAGGAAGCTTCTCTGGTGACAGTTTAAAGATGCAGTAATCTATGGGTATGACAGTGTCATTAGGAGTCAGTTCAATATTATATCTGTTTACCAGAATTTGTAGCTATCCTCTGGGTTTGGCATGGTAGCACATATCTTTAATCTCAGTACTCGGGAGGCAGAGGCAGGCCGATGAGGCCAGCATGATCTACATAGTGAGATCCAGGACAACTGGGGCTACAGGGAGGCTTTGTCTCAAAAAAGCCAAAGGGAAAAAAATGCATAGTTATCATCCTTTTAAAAATCATTTTAAATAGGTAAAATTACAGTGTAGAATTGCAGAAAATGGAACAGGTTTTTAGGAAGAACAAAAAAGAGGCATTTGATATGTTATTTTCTGTTTCATGGTATGCCTTGAAAAAAAATCAGTGTCATAAAAGATCGATATTGAGTAGTAGGTAGTTTGATTCTGGAATTAGCATGCAGTCATTAACTTTCAAAAATTCATTCATAAATTTTGCCAAAGGGAGCTTTAAAATATAAATAATGTATGGCTATAACTTGTTAATCTAATTTGTAAAAAATAAATTTTTGTGATTAAATAATATATTTAAATGCTCAAATTTTGTTTCCCCCCCCCACCACCACCTCGGTACATTGATTGCCTTGAGAGCTAGCCAGAATGTTGCAAGGACGGTAGTTCCCCCTCTTCCCCTGAATCAATCATATACTAGAATTACTCCAAAGACCTAAAAGCTTCTTTCAAATTTTGTTTCTTGCCATGCAATATTTCCCTTTCAAATTCCCATTACTATACTGTTCCAGTCTGCTACACATCCCCCGTCCAACTTAATAAATCAGTTTTACCTACTCTTTAACTCCTTTTATCGAGTAGTTTCTCTGGAGAAATCTACCTTGAATATCTTAAGATACTTGAAAAGTGTTGAAACTGTGTTATAGATTATGAACCTTCCAAATTTGTGTACCTTACAATCACATAATTGTTTTTCTGGATATATAATAGAAATAGAATTCACTATTATATTCTATATAGGGATTTCTAAGTAAAAATACAATAAGCAGGCATCTTTATATTTCACATACTCATTATTTCCAGTGGAAACAAATGACAGCTTGTCTTTTACTAATCCTCAATATACAGATGTAGTACCCAGGCACTCATTACCTTCGGGGATTTGATAGAAACAAATAGAGCATGCTAACACTCCAGTTGAGGAAATGTGAAATAAATGTGTTTGTTTATTCAGTAAATATTGACTGAGCACTTAATGTGTGGCCACTGTTGTGGATGTTTAAACACAAAGATTAATGGAAACTCTCTATATATACACCAACCACATTTAATCAATTGACCACAAATGCATGTAACAAACTGTGAAATCTGTCAAATTCTGAGTTTACTGCCAAAAATTTTCAGTGGATAACCTCCACTCCCCCATCCCTTTGGTTCTGTAGCTGTAGCTCTACACCATGGTTGAGCTCTAAAGTGAACACATAAGCAAGACCTTACCTGTAATTTGAGAAGAAGCAGACCTCCCAGTGAGATAGAAACTGAATGCCCTCACACTTCCTGTGTAACCACATTAAACTTCCTATATGGATGCTATGGTTTTGAATTGTTCTAATCCAATCAGGGTACAGCCCCTACCCTGTCAGCTGCATGAGGTGAAGGAGTTTGAATTTCATATAAGAATAAATGGATTGTCATTGTGCAGTCCATTAAGGAAGTAAAAAGTGGCCATATTCTTCTGTATAGGGCCTGAGCTTGTAGAGTGTGAATAAAAAGATACTAGAAGAATGTTTTGGACTTCTACTTCAGGTAACACATCGAGTTCCAAAGTAGAAAACTAAGCAGACTTTGGACTAGCAAAATTGGAAAAGTCTTGGCTATGTACAGGTGGCGTCTAGACAGATAATGCTTAGGAACTTTGGCCTAACATGGTGTCATTGTTACTGAACTTGCTGTCACCTCCAATCCCCAGTCCCCTGGTCTTAATCCTGTGTCTAATTTTTATCTGCAATTTGAGAAGGGTTGGAGAGCAGTGCCTCTAAATTTTTTGAATACTTGGGAAACAAAGGCCCACTTCTGGGTGGTCTTTCCCCTAACTAGTAGGAGAAAGGAAGGAAGGAAGGAAGGAAGGAAGGAAGGAAAGAAGGAAGGAGGGAAAGATCACTCTCCAAATGCTCAATAAGAGATGTGATGTTCAGTAAGTTTGCATATACTTTTAAAAAGATTAAAAGTAAATCATAAACACATGGCAAAAAATAAAATATTAGAAACTGTAGAAGGGTAAAATCAAGTTATTGAATGGGGAGGGGTGAAGGGGAAGGAAAAAATGATCGTATGAGAAAATCACATTTAAGTTATGCTCTTGTAATTGAGAAGAAAATTAGCTCTGAGATTCTGGTGGTCGAAATGAAAAATAGAAGCATAATGGATTCTGAAAAGAATTTCAAGGGGAATAAACTCTCCTAGCTCTGAATTATTAGAGAAATTTGTCACTTGGGCTTTAAGCTAAAAGTGATTTGAACAATATAATAGGGATACATTGATAACTTATTGGATTTCCATTGACATGTCTTAGATCTTCTCTGGATAAATCATATTAAATATGTAAAAGTTGGAGCTAACATTAAAAATAATAGTTACAACAAAGAGTCCAAACAGTATTTCCAAATACTTCAATTCTCTGTTGCCAGCACATCTAGTCCCCAAGTCCCTATTCCATTACCTACAGTATTCCAAGTATTCGTTAACATAATTAATATAATCATAAACAGCACCAGATCCTGCCCACAATGGGAAAAATACTAACAAGCTACAACAATCCAGAATCTTAATTTGGGTCAAGGCACACAAGGTCATTTTATGAGTCGACCCTTTGCTCTCGGTCTTTTCCCTGGCCATTCATCACAAGCCCCTGAAAGGCTTTTTCAGAAAGACTCACAAACCCTGCTCTCAAAGATGTTGATTTAGTAGTTCTGCATATAGTCTTCTGGGTTTTTTGTTATTGTTGTTGTTTGTATTTTTTGTTGTTGTTGTTGTTGTTGTTGTTTGTCTTTTTGAAGTAGGGTCTCCTTGTAGCCCCAGTTGTCCTGAAACTCATTATGTAGACCAGGCTGGCCTTGAATTCACAGAGGTCGGCCTGCCTCTGCCTGCCAAGTGCTGGGACTACAGGCATGTACCACCATGCCTGGTTAGTCTTCTGTTTTTCCACCATGCCCGGCTAGTCTTCTGTTTTTAAAGAGATTGTTACTATCACCTGATCCATTCTTCTGTCTAACGCAGAAGTCCTCTCTAAGCATGGCTACAAGCCTCCCACTATGTTGAGGGACACAGTGAACTTATGTTATGAGAAAATTTTTACTATCAAATTGTTTTTCCTACAACTTCGATAACTTTTGAAATGTTTTGTTTTCTTTCTGATTAAACTTTAGTTGGTAAAGTTTGCAAGACTTGTAAAAATGCTTCTGTTCCTGTAGTCTATGTAAGAAGTTTTTTTTTTAACTAATAAATAAAATACTTTAATTACAATTTTTTCTGATGTTCTCATTTTTTTAATTAATTTATTTATTTTTATGCCCACTTCCCAGATAGCACCCTCCCATAGTCTCCCTCCCCACACTAGAGCCCTTATACTCTGATATCCCTGCTACTGTCTGCTGTGTTGTCAGCACCCCAAGCCATTCCCCACTACTTGCCCTTCTGGTGAATCTAGTAAGAAGTTTTTAATCTACAAACATAATTCTCTAGAGAATTCTTTTCTAAGAAAATTTAGCACATAGCTATTCACCTTTAAAAGGTTCATATAGTATAAGCTGGAATGTAGTTTATCAAAGTTGGTAAATCCTGTACATCTGTTTATAACCGGAAAAGGAAATTTGAACATGCTTCTTTCAGTAATATATCTTTACTATCAGACTGTTGTCTTTATTGAAGGTAAAGCTTATTTTTTCCTATTTTTTAAATCATTTGGAGCTATTGACTTACAGTAATTATTGCTATTTTTGACTGCTTCTCTAAACACTTTGCCTCTCGGAAACTACCTTCATTTCCTTACTTGAGCAGTAATGCTTAGATTGTGATCTGAATTGAAGATCTTAGGCTGCTCAACACGACTGATAAAGAACTGGAATAATTTACAAGTTATGCATTTGAAATTAAGTGGATAACACAGAAATAAAATTTCACATTATAACATTGAATATATCCTCCTAAGGAAGATTCATGACAAGTGTATGAGTCCCATGTGTCAAGCACGGCTACATAAGATGGCATGAAAATAAATTTAAGATAGATGGAAAGGATTTAATTAGATCTATCGCATTTCTCAAGGGGAGGGAAATATACAGAAGAGCAATTACATTGTAACTGCATATTAGAAAGACCAGCTAACTGTGGAGCTGTTTCTTTACATTTTAAAATATAAATGGATTGGGTTTTCAGTAGGAGTGGGAGGATTTAGCAAATGATTAGATGGAATAAGCCTCTCATTCAAAGATGTCAGAGCACATGTAGCCAGAGGGAGTGAAATTTCTTCACACAGACTGATGTTTGGAGATGCTTTTATCAGTGCAAAGTGCATAGGTTGAAAGTCTGCTTCATCGCAGGGGACTCTGCAGTCAGGAAGCAGTCTCGGCATCGGGTCATCATTCAGCTGCCGGCCAATGGAGGCAGGGACTGCACCGACCCTCTCTATGAAGAGAAGGCCTGCGAGGCCCCTCCAGTGTGCCAGAGCTACAGGTAACAGCGGGAAAGGTGTGCAAGTGGTGCACTGGTACTGCTTCCCAGGCACATTCTTTCAAGCGGTGAGGAGATCAAGCTGAGACTGTTCTTCCCAGGCTCAGTGCAACTGAGGATGTTGACCATTGCAGCCGCATTTCACCTTTATTTCAGAGAACTGCTCTGCTTCTGAAGTGACTTCCCAGGAAGCAAATATTTATAACAATTTCTCAGCTGTGTTATTAGCTCCAGTATTTGGAGAGAATGCCTTATGCTGATATCAACTATAAGAAATGCAGAAAAGAGTTAATAATTACGAAACACATGAACTTTAGGAAGCAATTTCTTTTTCACTTAAGGGAATAGCCAAGCGTTTCTCTCCTGGCTCTGGGGAGTACCTGTTTCTTACAATATGGGCATTCTGACTTGGAAAATGGCATCATGATTCTGTAATGCTAGTAAGATGTTCATCCATTAGCTCTTTGAAGAAAGCTGAAGTCACTAAAGCTATAAATAATATGGGCAATTCATCACAGAAACTTGGCATCCTTGTCATTAAGACTACAAGTTTCTCATTGAAACTTGCTGTAGTTATAATTGCAGTCCTGACAACAAATGAACTACCATGGCACCAATTACTGAAGTGTATAATCACAAAACAATAGAAGTAAAAATTGATTTTAAAGATGTTAAGATTTGCCATCTTAGTACATGTATCTTTCATACTAAGATGACAAATACTGTAACTGTATGTTTATGCCATGAACATTATCTACTATTAACACAAATGTATTTATTTTTGGAATTTGCTCTTGCTATAAGATACTATAATTTCAGTCACTGAATTACTTTGCCGTGATAAGCAAATGAACACTGAACAGAAATCTCACAGCCCGACTGTAGTTTACTAGTGGAACACAACACTTCTGAGACTAGCTGGGGCATCCGTCGGTAGCGTGAATCATTAAGAAGTTCACAAGACATCTTTACCCTTCATTCCTACAGACTTGGCAATGATACAGTCTTATCTTCCATGCTATAGGAAGAACTTTTGCATTTTATGACACCTTTATAATGCTTTAGTGAGTATCTGAATTAAACTTATGTAAGACTGAGCCTACGTAAATAGCCCGTTTTTTTTAATGCTACATTAGCTCTGCGATTGGCCTGTTATTTCTGCTTCATCTCCACTACACTTTTCTATTCTTCTCTTATAGGTGGAAGACTCACAAATGGCGCAGATGCCAATTAGTCCCTTGGAGCATTCAACAGGACACCCCTGGTGCACAGGAAGGCTGTGGGCCTGGCCGGCAGGCAAGAGGTAAGAGACGCCAAACCACAGTTGGTTTGCTTTGCATTTCACCAACATTCTATCCTATACCTTTACCACTACCTTTGTGCGTTTGCCCTGTTTAAAAAAAAAAAAATTTATGTGTGTGACTTTATCACTTGCATGTAGTGCACCCATGTCGTATAATGCAGAGATCAGAAGAGGGTGTCAGATCCCCTTGAATTGGAGGTATGGATGGTTGTTAGTTGCCATGTGGGTGCTGGTAATCGAACCCAGGTCTTCTGGAAGAGCAGCCAGTGCTCTTAACTGCTAAGCCAGCTCTCCAGTCCCTGTTTGTCACTTTGATGCCAGGCTTAGCACACAGGGCAGAGCAGGTAGACACTGTTTTGGCACATTCTACAAAACCCCAGAAGCTAGAAACAACTGTTTAAATTTTGTTCTTTGGCATTAATCCGTAAGTATTGAACACTCCCTAACTTGGAAATTAAGCCCAAGTTTTGGTAATAGCATAGATGGTACACCTAAGATGTTCGTTTTTAAATCATGGCAATTCGAAGCATTTCACTCCATACCTTAAAAATCAGTAAGATTCGTGCACTCTTTTTGCATACATCATATTTGTGTGTGCGTGCCCCATAATGTAATTAGCTTCCATGGAATCCTCAGCAGTGATATTCCCGGGATCGCAGAGGGTCTCCATGATTTAGTCATATTCAGTACTGACTGATTTATTTATTTATATCTATTTTATGTGTATGAGTGTTTTGCCTGCATGTATGTAAGTGCACCCATGTCTCACAAACCCTGCAGAGGTCAGAAGAGGGTATTGGATCCCCAAGGATTGGAGTTACAGACAGTTATTAGCTTCCATGTGGGTGCTAGGAACTGGGTCCTCTGGAAGAGCAGCAGTGCTCTTAGCCACTAAGCAATGTACTCGACCCATCAGGACTGATTTTTAAATGGCAGATTTATTTACTTAAAGCATATAATATGTGAATTACAGTCTGTCTGCACTAGTACATAACATGGTATTGTGCGGAAATATGTCATGAGTATGTTTCACACTTGCCATAATTATGTACTGGATTTTACAGGAAATAAATCTCAAGTTTTGGAATGTATTATTTATAGTAGCAAGCTCAGACTTCAGAGATTTCATTATTTTTACTAATATAAATTTTAGCATCTAATTCTTATCACGTACTCAAAATGTAGTTTAATATGTAACTGAATGTGCGACACCTGTAAAGATAGATTCTACTTTCCTGTTTGTAGTTGTGTATTTAATTATGATGCAAAAGTTTGAACATGTAGAACAAAATTCCAGTTTTTATAAATCCAGCTTGGAATCCTTTATTTTTTACACTAAAAAAATTATATTTTTATCTTGAAAAAAAAGTTCTCCTTTAAAAAAAAATCTATTTTTATGTTGTTCATTTTATGTCTTCATTTGAAATACAAAAGTTAGTTTATTAACAACATTATCTACATGGTCACATTTATAGTGTTAGTTTATTTGCCTAACTGTCATTGTGGATATTCCATAACTGGAGAAGTCTAAGGTGTCCCATGATATGATCCAATGGACTGATTCTTTGCGTCTCAAACAACAAATTGGAAAAAATACAGGGGTCTTGTAGTACTAATGAAAGCGCAGACTTGCTAAAAATGAGAGTTAAAACACAGGATATACTCCATAGCATGCTCAAGCAAGCACACAGATAAAAGCTCTGGGTTTAGAGTCCAAGGGCTTTTTATTACCAAAGGGTGGGGAGTTCTCTGAAGGAGTGGATCTTTCTTTAGCTGTCATAGGTGAGTGGTGTGTGTGTGCGTGCATGTGTGTATATGTGCTATGTGTGTGTGTGTGTGTGTGTGTGTGTGTGTTGGAGGAAGCTTGAGCAGTCTAAATGACAGCCTTTCTTGGTTTCTGGGTCTGGAGTTACTCACAGTCATGCATGTCTGGCTCTATTGTCCTCTCACTTCCATCATAAACCTTGGATAAAAATAACTCTGGCTAGACACTTGGATACATAAACTTGAGAGCTACTGTTCCCATTTCAAATCTTTCTTCAAGAAATTGAATGTTGCAGAGTCTTATCATTCACTGCTAATTCTGCCTTTTAATCAAATGTACATTCATATAAAGTTTTGGTTCTACACAAAGTTGACAGTGAACAGTGGCATGGGTTTGGGAATCAGGAAACACAAATTTCGGTTCCAATTCTTATACTAATATAAGATGAGTTTTGCCCATCTAGCCACCTTTTATAGGTCTTTTATAGTTCATTTAGGGGAAAAAAGAAGTTTGCCTCAAATGTTCTTTCAGCATTATTTTGATTTTAATATATAATCCATACATGACTAGTACTCAGAGATCAATGGTCAGAATATGAAAGACATATTTTTATACAACACCACTGGAGGAAATATAAGATATGATGAAATCAGCACACATGTGATACAGTTTCATAGTTCAAAACTCCATTACTTAAAAGCTGCACAACCTGGAATGATTCATTTCCTCCCTCTAAGGCTAAAAACACTAAAGTCTCATGGCATTGAGTACTCGCTGTCTTCCTTGAAAGGTAATCCCTTCCTCTTCTGTCAGTCTGTGACCTTGATGTCAGTCTGTGACCATAGTCAGTACATCACAGGGGCATGAAAGAAGCAAAATGAACATGGGTCTTTTGCTTTTTGACAGTCTATACAGAAACTGCTTTGTAGGACTATCCTTGAGCTTCTCATTTCTAAGTCTGACAGTCTCAGTCCTTTTCTGCACCTAGTGACTACTTTCTAGCGTCTAAAACTATTACCCACTTCCTCCAAGGAAAGAGGGTGTCCTTGGCTTCCTCAGAGCCACTTTCTCCTGCCTTTTGCGAGTTCTTTCGTTGGTTTCCTGTTTGGGGTGCTCTTCTTCTCCAGTCTGTAAGCAATACTTTCTAATCTTGGCATACTCCTCACAATGCTCAATCTGTCTCAGGCATTTTACTCATTTCAGGCTTCCGGGAAGACAAAGCTGGACTGTACTAAGTGGCTTCTGTGTAATTAATTTCAGAAGAACAACTTCCAGGCAAAGACATTTGTCTTTATTATTCCAGTATATGGAGTGTTCCTTTCTCTGCAACCTGTGTTTCCACAGAGTATCAGATGGAAAGAAGCATCTTTTGCTCATGGCAAGGAGGAAAAAGGTTCCTTGCATTCATGCTGGTGGTTGATATCCGAGCTCTGAATAACTGGCCTGTCATAGCCTTGCTATTTTCATCTTTGACACCTTATTTTGTAAGCAAAGTAAAATAAAGTAAAAACTGCTCCTTTTAGTGATTGAAATAATCATGTAGTATTGATTCAATCAGCAAAGTCTATAGAATGGATTGTGCTCTCTAGTACATCAGACTTTCTAATCCAACTACTCATTCATGTGATTGCATTCATAAGACTGTGTAGAAAGAACAACGAGTATGGTGAAAGATGAAGATATTCAAAGCAGGGAGCTCACATTTGTTAGGGAAAGGAGATCGCTTAACATCACCCAACAGATAGAAGTTAAAAACTAGAACTCACCAATTACAAATCTGGTCATCTGAAGCTGAACAAGTGAGAAAGACTTAAAGGACGGTTTGCTGCTTGGCATGTACTACCTTGCTAGAGTAAGTACAAAGGCGAGAATACAAATGAGATGGATTCTAAAAGCTATAAGCTTTTGAGCTAAGAAAGGCAATTAATATGTTCATAGGAAAGTGGTAGATTGAGGACACAGAGATGTGAGCTGGAGCCTGGGGTGATTTTGTGGAGAGCTATAAATGTCAGGATCAGTGTTCCAGATGTGTTCAATAAGTGAAAGGAGCAAAGACTCGATGAAAGCAGCGTTTTATCTGTCAACGTGTTCAGAATAAATTAAAATGATAAGACACAGGGGCCCAGCTGCCAGCTAGGATGCTGTTGGAACAACACAGGGCAGGGTAACAGAGGCTCAGACCAGAACCACAGCAGTGAAAATGGACAAAAATAAATGGCTATTAAGCTTGTAAAAGTGGAAGACATTTTTTAGGACTTAGTGGCAGACAATTCAATGGGTAATAGAAATAAGGGTTAAAGATGAACCTAGGATTCTTTCACTCCAATATTTTTAGCTTTGGAATGGCTCTATTGATGGAAATTGTTCATTCTGAAAAAAGAGCTAATTTTGAGAGGGATAGTTTGTGCATTTTGCATTTTAGACCATGTTAAGGTAGTCATGTAGAAAGATCTTAGTATATATGCATTTGATATCTAGAAATGTAGCTGTAGAAATGGCTTAGGATGTCAGATGGAAATTTGTCCAATGTTTCCATAAAGTGGTTTGTGGAACCATAATAAAATGCACATCTTCAGAACATATATATGAGGAAAAGCAGTAATTATATTTTTCCCACTAGCAAGTTCTTTTTTCTCTAAATTTTTCATATTTTGAGGCTCTTTGGGTATTTCTTTTAATGAATTTAACTTAAAATTAATGCTTCTATAATCTTCTAACTTTAAATTAATATTTTCTTATTTGCAGCAGTAATGAACCCATATAGACTAAAATATAGCTACCACTATCCAATATTAATTTACCAACCTATGATTCTGAAAATAAAAATATTTATTGTGTGGCTTTTATCAAATTATTTGCTTATACCAGAGCTAGTAAACTATGGCCTGTCAACCAAATTCAGCCTGCAGCCTGTTTCCTTGTAGTTAAAAGTTTATGAAAACAATCACACCCATTTCTTTACCTACTGCTTATGGATGTTTTGCAAATACAAGGCAAAACTGAGTTACTGCAAGAGATAGTAGGTCTCAGATAGGAAAAACATTCACTATCTCACCCTTTACAGAAATTTTTTTCTGGTCCCTGATCTTAATTCAGAAGCATATTCACTGATATAATCATGCTTTCAATAGTACTAAACTCATTTCCTGATACTACCAGCCAGTCCTTGGAGTTGATCTTGTCCTTAGGAAGAAATTTATAAATTCAGATCATCGATAAACTATTTTAGAATTAT